GTCCAACGAAAACTCAAAAGAGTGTTGGTTCAGGAGTACTAAATATATCATATTAAATAACAATATTCGATGTATTCCTTCAAGGTCAATACCAAAAACTCCTATAAACAGATCATTGACACATCTATCATCAAAATTACTTAGTCACACACTCATCCTCTCAACATCATTTAGTCAAAGAAAGGGTCCAATGAACACTCGAAAAGAGTGTTGGTTTAGGAGTACTAAATATATCATATTAAATACTCATTACAATTACATGAAAAAAACATGCACATAATAATATTGGTGTTTTTTTATATAATAAATGTTTTCTTTCCAAATAAATACTTTCAATTTCTACTTGCTAATAATCGACTGGGTAGTGTTAGTTCTTTTCCATGTAGAAAACCTTGAATTTGCAGTAAACTTCTTCATTTGGGTTGTTCAGATCCAAACGGATACAAAAGAAAATAACTGAAAAACTGATCCAAAAAACAAATAACCGATCAAAAACAATTTTCTTTATCGATTAGGATTTTTTTTCACAGAACCAAGCAGTTTGAATCAATTTGCAGTTTGAAATTTCGGAACCAATCCAAACTGAACTGAAATCAATTATCTAAAATTATCATATTACCGATTACTTCACTTATATATGAGAGATGTCTACTGGAGACAAAAATCTAATTACCTATTGCCTATAAATATGCACTGGAGTAGCAACAATATGTTTAATATATGAATGAGGTGGAAGAAGGGTTACCCTGGTAGTGTAAAAGTTACATTATCAATCTAGGAAGAGAAAATTTCTAAAACAACATACAATATAATTGAAAGGAAACAAAATAGAAGACCGAATTTTAATGTTTATGTTTTGAATTTTGTGCATTATTAGATTTGATAGGCTTATAAGAGATATATTGAATGGTTATCTAGTATTTATGTCACAATATATATATATATATATATATATATATATATATATATATATATATATATATATATATATATATATATATATATATATATATTAATAAAAAAGATTTATTATTTCCTTTTTTAACTTCTAAATCTATTTTAATAAACACAAACAAAACAAATACTAATCCATGCTTACGGGTTTAAAACTAGTTTTTAACTAAAACCAAACCAAGCCAAACGGAACCCCAAACACCCCTAATGATTTTAATGAAGTTTAAACAAGATGGATTTCTAAATTGAACTCGAAAAGAAAGGATTCTGAAAACCATTTTCTTGCCCTAATTAATGATTGAAGAATTAAAGAGATGAAATTTCGTTTACAACACTAGAGAAAACATTTTATCAATAAATGTTATAGTTAAGTCATCAATGTATCTCTGTCATAATTTCTAAGTAAAACTTTTCATTTATTTATTCAATAAATATTGTGCAGTGCTTAGCAAATTTGATAAAATAGTCTAATGTACATATAACAAATCGTTGCCACAGTGGACTTAGGGCTAACAAAGTTTATTAAAAAACTTTTTTTAAAATGATGGTTCGAAACTTGAGGAGTAACTTAAATCTTTCTGACATATAGCCTCCATTGACAATGAAATACCCTTTTACTCTCGAATTATATTACTCATTTTACACTTCTGTTTAATATTCTTTTTCTCTTTCTCTAACTATCACTTTGTAGATCTTATCATTGTTCCTGCACAGCTGTTTTAGATACTCGAAGAAAAAGAAAAAAAAAAACCAACTGTGGTCGTACCTGATTCGTCTAGAATAGTAACACAGACTCTAGACATGACACGGGCACTTCAACACATATAGTCTCTAAAATGTAGGTCAGGGACACGGATCTATATATTAGATCTATAGTCTTTAAAACGTAGGACAGGGACACGGATCAATATATTAGATCATTATGTATTTACATCTTCAAAATCATCTATAAACAAAATTAGTCAAATATAATAATATAAACACATGATGAGCTAACACAAAAATGAATTTAATTTATCTATCTAATATCTAAAAAGCAGAAAGTGATGATCATATAAGATTTATTCCTTATTATAAGATTTGTTCCTTATTACTTATGCAATAAGTTTACAAGTTTATGGATTTTTTAGAAAATCAATTACTCTTGGTTATGCCTCTATCTGCCTTTCAAATAAAATGCACAAATACAAATTCTCCTTTTCCCTCTTTCTTTTCGGATAACCACGCTTGATCCACACACACACGAAAATGTACCATACCAGAGCAAATCATAAAGAAGCACAGCCATAAACCAAAAGCAATGGAATTGAAAGGCAGCGTACCTGATACGCTTCGAAATCGTCAAAATTAAACCGTGACCTGGCCACAGTGTACTCCACATGATTCAGAATATCCTTTTGGAGACTGAGAGGGTCGTTCTTCAGAAACCCATCCATTAAGGTAAACATTCTCTCCGCTTTCGCGCGACGCTCGCCAACGCCATCCACCAGCCCAGACCTCCTTACCACAACCCCCGAGTTCGCCACTGCCGGTCTCGACACCGAGACCATTCCGTCGCCGTCCCCGCCGATCGCCTCGGCCAACGCTCGCTTAATCCTCTCCAGGCTGTCGGAGTCCTCAATTTTGTTGCCATGAGAATCGGTGACGAAAAACTTCTTCACGAAGAAGTCGCCCTCGAATTCGACGGTAGCGCGGTCGACGGTGAGGCCCAGGACCTTGAAAACCCTGGTGATGACCTGGAGGAGGCCGATTCGGCTGCGGGCGCGGATCACAAAGGCGGTGGAGTCATCAGCGTCGGAGTTGTCGACGGCAATGGTGGAGGAGGAGGCGAAAGCGGAGTCGCTGGCGGAAGCTTGCAACGGGATGCTCCGACGAGCGGTGGCGTAGGGCTCGGTAAGCGAGGATAAGTGTGTGAGAGAAGGGAATGGAGAGTGTGGAGTGATCGGAAATGAGAGTGAGGGAGTGAAGAGAGGAAATGAAAGTGTTTGCATTTTGGGAAAGAACTTGGAATTAGTGAATTGGTGACATGAGTGAATGTTGTATGAGTGAAATGGAAAATGACAGTGAGAAAAAGAAAAGAAAGAAAAAAGAAAGAAAGAGAAAAGAATAGCGGGAATCGTGATGTGTTGCAAGTTTCAACTAACTACTTTTAAAAGGAGTTTGCCTTTCCGATAAGAGGAGGCAAGAAGCTTATGATATGCAACTCGTGCCCATGTCGCTCAGTGCTCACACGGTCGAACCCAAACTTATTTTCTCCGAATATGCAATACAAATAAACACAAAAATAAATAAATATTAGGACCACGTCCTTTCACCTCTTCTAAATATATTCTCCTATCGATTAAATATTTTATGTAATTTTTAAAATAAATCCGCAATTATAAAGTCAAATATTACTTTTATGTGTCCTCACCTAGCTAGAAAAAGGGTGTCCATGTTTATGCAATTTTTATATTATATTAATATAATAAATTCATCGAACAAACTTATTTAAAGAAAAAATAAATAATATTTTAGTTTTAATAAAGTTTGTAAAATTAAAAGAAACAACTGAAGATATATTTTACTAATGTTTATATTTTCTTTGATTAGAAAAACAAAATTTTTTACAAAATTGCTTTTTCTAAATATATGTTTTTTTTTTCAACTTCAAATTAGGGTGAATGATTGTATCTGACCTTTTGTATTTTTTGAGTTTAGAGTTTCCTTATCGTTTTATCTTTAAAAATTGGTTAAAAGATAACGTTATATAACTTATTTTTTGTGCTAAACAATGTGAAACATTGAAAATACCAAAATAAGTTTCTAAATTAATATTTAAGAGAAATGAATATTTACTTTTAGACCCTCTTATACATATCTACATACATTGTTAAAAGTTAAGAATAATTTAAATATATTTTCCTTCTTTAACTGTCAGAGGTGAGAATGATATCGGATTAAATCAGATACAGATAACATTTATCCACCTGAGTCGCATAAAAAATTCACTCGTTACTTATATTTAAAAACTATATTTTATAGTTTACAAATGCATCCTAAAATGATTAAGTTTTAGATGTTATTATATTTATGGAATCCATGCATCCTAAAATGATTAAGTTTTAGATGTTATTGTATTTATTAAATCTAAGTATACATCTGTAGTGTACATGTATATTTTATGTTTGGTCTATTTGTCTTTTTTTTTAATGAGTTTTTTTCCTTTTGTTGATTTTAAAAAATGAATGATTCCAAGAGAAACCATTTATGATCAACATGGAGAAAGAGGACATAGAGCATATTTTATCACACTTAAAATTTGGCGGTCTTGTATATTCTTAAAATATGTTGACAAAGAACATTGCTTGAAGATCATTCTTTCCCTCCAGAGTTACACGATCTTAAGGCAAATTGGTGACTCGATCTTCGTAATTTACCTTTATCTCTCATTTCAATATTATAATGAGAATGTCAGGAACACGTCTAAAGAAATTAACTGTCATCAATTAAAATTATCTTATGCACAAACTAAAATTAAATTCTAAAGCTTTAGCTTATAGGAAAAAGAATTCTTAGTTTTCTTTCCTACCTTCCTTCAAACAGATCCTATAAGCTAAATTTCATGATTTATGTCGGTGGATTTGATTAAAGTTTTAATACCTCCATGACTTTATGCTCTAAACCCAAAAAAATGAGACAAATATTTCGTTAGAACTATTATATCAACTATAAAAAGATTACCTAAATGACTCAAGTGATATATATCAAATACAGTGGTGCAACTCGCGGCTATGAATATCTTATACTAAGTTGGTATTGTGGATAAATGTAATGTCTCATCTGTATAGGGTGTGTTACTATAGAACAGGTGTTTAGGCAAATTGGAAATTAGCAAAATCGATGGATACAAAAGAGTTACTTACCGAGCTGATGTTAAACGAGATCAAATCAGTCACAACATGACAAATGTGACACTCGTTTTGGTCTAAGAAAACCTACCATAACAGGATTAAAGTTACTCGGGTAGATTACAAACTAACACATTACTAAATAAATAGATGCTGTTTTTCAAGTTTTCTGTAAACAAAATTTCTCTCTGCTCAAGTTGTATACTTGTTTAAACTAAACATTTACAAGGAGGTAGACAAATTAGCAGAAAAATATAAGCCAGATAAGGCTAACGTACAATTTGAACTCCCAACCTGTTAAAATTACAGAAGCTATAGCCTGTCACGGGAGGGGCAGAACTTTCTCCATACTGATATTTAATAGATAGGTTCATCTGCAATAACAGAAAATATTTATGTAAAGTGATTACAATAAAACATGTTATAATTGAATTTATTAACATTATTAAAATGAATGTAAATGATAAATGCAATGAGAAAGTAACGTGACAATACCATCCCCGTCATCTACATCATTGAAATCATCATCGTCGTCGTCAAAATCTATATTCTGCAAGATTTTATTTGAGTTAGATACTTCAATTTTTTAATTGTTCGTTTTAACATGGAAACGAAAAACACAGCCTAGCAACCGTATGCTAAATAAGACAAGACAAAAACATACAGGCATATTAAGAAAGAAGAGGGAAAACAGTGAAATAAATACTCTTCAAACTACTACCACCAGAGCCCCCCAACCGCTAAAAATTTATATGAAGTGATACATCATTCCCTATGCCGCCACCATGTCAAATTAAGCAATTGCCAAAATCTAATTTTAGTAACAGTTCATTGAATGCTGAAAAAAGTCTATACCACCACCTGTTGTGGATGGAAGAAAGTGCAATAGGTGAAAACAAACTCCACATTCATAGAGTTCACTTCTATAATTTAAAAGAAACCTCAAAAATTGGAAAGGAAGAACAAGATAGCCCAAACCAAACATCGCAATTCTGACCATCGAATTGTCCTTTTCCTTCAAAGGTCAAACTATTTTCTATTGTTTACTTTCCAATTGCGTGAAGTGCATATTATGTGTAACATTTGAACAGGGCAATTTTGATATGGAATCCACTTAAAATTTCAAAGAAACTTCACATAGTATTGAGCAAGCACAAGATATTTTCTAATCCTAATATTTTCTCCTTTTCAATGTTATATTTATGTATGGGGTCTTCTCCTATTTAATTTTGTATTTATGTATGGGGTCAGAAGAAGCAGAGGACCATTGTGGACAGCTAATGAGTCATCAGTTGGATCTGCAAGACCACGTACACTTGTTATTTTTGCAAACGAGAGCTAGTTAGACTCTCCTACCAAGGAGGGGGAATATCAAAGATGATAGCTGACACAGCTAAAAACTTGCTTCCATCATCATATTACTGTTTTCAGTATATCTAGTTAAAAAATTAAGGTAACCTTGACTAAATTCAACAATAAGGTTTTAACTTAGACACATGAAACCATGTAAATGCAATTTTGTCATGGTCGAGAGCTGCGCAGGTTTAGTTTTTTCCCTATTTACCTTTGTCTTCAATTTGAAAATATTTCTGGGTAAGTTTTTGTGACTTAAATGTATTATTACAACATAGAGACCGATAGGGCCCAGCAGAAATTGCTGGTTCTTATCAGAGACAAATGGAAAAATTAACACATCAAAATAAAGGCTATAGTGGAACCTGATTATAATCATCATCACTCATATCTTCTTCATCCTCCTCTTCTGCATTTCCATCTCCATCTTCATCTTCTCCCTCTTTCTTTTCGGTTTCATCGGTTTCCTCTTTTCCCTGCAAGTGAAACCATCATCAACATATTTCACTGGAAAAGAAAAGGTAGTCCAACACTGGAATAAAAGAATAAATACAATATTCATGTGGACCAAATGCAATCTTACTCCCAAAATTAATCATCTAGTGGTCAACATTCCTTTAACTTAGCTAATGGAGAGTTGCAGCAGTGGGAGTAGATGTGATGGTGGCAGTAAAAGGGATGGTGGATGTAAAGATAAAAAAATTGATGGAAACAGTGAAGGAAGCAATATTAATGGGATCAGCAACGTGGTGAGAACAATTATGGTGTTGGTGTTGAATGGCAAAGGTTGTGGCACTGTTTGCAATGATGGTGGCAATTATAGAGGCAACGTGAAAGTAGCAGGAGTGGGTTTTAAAGGTATCAAACTGAGGTCGCAGTAACTTATTTTACCGTATGTGTGGATCAGAAACTGCCTCTTAATAATTTGAGGTTCTTTCAATTAGAAATCTAAGGATCTAGAATAAGAACTGAGGATATATTCAATTAGTAATAGCTCAATTCCTTGAAAATGCTATCAGGAATTAAAATTTTGAGTTTACAATGTATATCAAGGCAGAAATAAAAAACTGTAGATTCCTATTACATTCCAAAGGCCACAAAAAACCATAATGTGTACTGAAAGTGATAAGCATCCAAGCACACGGGGAACCTATCCTCAAAAGCTAGTTATTACAGGAAAAACCTTAAATACTTTATCGAGCATCTTATAATAACCAAATATTATTCAGCATGAACTTAGATACCCCTCAATACCCAAATCCCGATAATTGGTATGTTCTGAGATGAAATGAATGAAAGTGTTAGGTGTCTTGTTATCACACATACATACACAGGAAGTTGTTTTAAACATAGGTGCTTTACCTGGTTTGTTTTCTCTTGTTGTTCAAAGAAATCCATTTTCTTCATCTCTGTCACACAAACATCTTTATCAGTCTAAATAGAAATCTAGTGCTTACTATCATTGTTATAAGTAAACAATGATCCACTTTATAGATGTGGATATTATCCCAAGTTCCATAACATGTTTCTATCGAATAAATAATAGTTTCTACAGCATAACCTATCAAGCATTTATACAACAATATTACAATCTAAAGTAGAATGTTGCATCCATAGTACATACAACAATCAGAAGAACAACATGAGAATTTTCATAAATTTCTCAAAAGAGAGTAAAAGCCTTTTACAAAGATTAAGCTTATTTTGAGCTAATCTCAAATTCAGAATGTACACGCTATAGTGATTTAACCAATTGATAATACTGCATAAAAGGCAAAAAGGTCATAGGAAATCACTAAACCTGACTCTGGGTTCCATCGAAACTTTTTTCTTCTTGACATTCGCTTGGATTTACCTGAAAACACCAATTTAAGTTGATATTATTTGCTAGCATGAACCTCAAATCCATGATAAGAAAAACAGAATGGTTTTTCATGTTAAATATAACCATTGCCTTGACAGTCCATTCCATTATTCATACNTTTTAGAAAATCAATTACTCTTGGTTATGCCTCTATCTGCCTTTCAAATAAAATGCACAAATACAAATTCTCCTTTTCCCTCTTTCTTTTCGGATAACCACGCTTGATCCACACACACACGAAAATGTACCATACCAGAGCAAATCATAAAGAAGCACAGCCATAAACCAAAAGCAATGGAATTGAAAGGCAGCGTACCTGATACGCTTCGAAATCGTCAAAATTAAACCGTGACCTGGCCACAGTGTACTCCACATGATTCAGAATATCCTTTTGGAGACTGAGAGGGTCTTTCTTCAGAAACCCATCCATTAAGGTAAACATTCTCTCCGCTTTCGCGCGACGCTCGCCAACGCCATCCACCAGCCCAGACCTCCTTACCACAACCCCCGAGTTCGCCATTGCCGGTCTCGTCACCGAGACCATTCCGTCGCCGTCCCCGCCGATCGCCTCGGCCAACGCTCGCTTAATCCTCTCCAGGCTGTCGGAGTCCTCAATTTTGTTGCCATGAGAATCGGTGACGAAAAACTTCTTCACGAAGAAGTCGCCCTCGAATTCGACGGTAGCGCGGTCGACGGTGAGGCCCAGGACCTTGAAAACCCTGGTGATGACCTGGAGGAGGCCGATTCGGCTGCGGGCGCGGATCACAAAGGCGGTGGAGTCATCAGCGTCGGAGTTGTCGACGGCAATGGTGGAGGAGGAGGCGAAAGCGGAGTCGCTGGCGGAAGCTTGCAACGGGATGCTCCGACGAGCGGTGGCGTAGGGCTCGGTAAGCGAGGATAAGTGTGTGAGAGAAGGGAATGGAGAGTGTGGAGTGATCGGAAATGAGAGTGAGGGAGTGAAGAGAGGAAATGAAAGTGTTTGCATTTTGGGAAAGAACTTGGAATTAGTGAATTGGTGACATGAGTGAATGTTGTATGAGTGAAATGGAAAATGACAGTGAGAAAAAGAAAAGAAAGAAAAAAGAAAGAAAGAGAAAAGAATAGCGGGAATCGTGATGTGTTGCAAGTTTCAACTAACTACTTTTAAAAGGAGTTTGCCTTTCCGATAAGAGGAGGCAAGAAGCTTATGATATGCAACTCGTGCCCATGTCGCTCAGTGCTCACACGGTCGAACCCAAACTTATTTTCTCCGAATATGCAATACAAATAAACACAAAAATAAATAAATATTAGGACCACGTCCTTTCACCTCTTCTAAATATATTCTCCTATCGATTAAATATTTTATGTAATTTTTAAAATAAATCCGCAATTATAAAGTCAAATATTACTTTTATGTGTCCTCACCTAGCTAGAAAAAGGGTGTCCATGTTTATGCAATTTTTATATTATATTAATATAATAAATTCATCGAACAAACTTATTTAAAGAAAAAATAAATAATATTTTAGTTTTAATAAAGTTTGTAAAATTAAAAGAAACAACTGAAGATATATTTTACTAATGTTTATATTTTCTTTGATTAGAAAAACAAAATTTTTTACAAAATTGCTTTTTCTAAATATATGTTTTTTTTTTCAACTTCAAATTAGGGTGAATGATTGTATCTGACCTTTTGTATTTTTTGAGTTTAGAGTTTCCTTATCGTTTTATCTTTAAAAATTGGTTAAAAGATAACGTTATATAACTTATTTTTTGTGCTAAACAATGTGAAACATTGAAAATACCAAAATAAGTTTCTAAATTAATATTTAAGAGAAATGAATATTTACTTTTAGACCCTCTTATACATATCTACATACATTGTTAAAAGTTAAGAATAATTTAAATATATTTTCCTTCTTTAACTGTCAGAGGTGAGAATGATATCGGATTAAATCAGATACAGATAACATTTATCCACCTGAGTCGCATAAAAAATTCACTCGTTACTTATATTTAAAAACTATATTTTATAGTTTACAAATGCATCCTAAAATGATTAAGTTTTAGATGTTATTATATTTATGGAATCCATGCATCCTAAAATGATTAAGTTTTAGATGTTATTGTATTTATTAAATCTAAGTATACATCTGTAGTGTACATGTATATTTTATGTTTGGTCTATTTGTCTTTTTTTTTAATGAGTTTTTTTCCTTTTGTTGATTTTAAAAAATGAATGATTCCAAGAGAAACCATTTATGATCAACATGGAGAAAGAGGACATAGAGCATATTTTATCACACTTAAAATTTGGCGGTCTTGTATATTCTTAAAATATGTTGACAAAGAACATTGCTTGAAGATCATTCTTTCCCTCCAGAGTTACACGATCTTAAGGCAAATTGGTGACTCGATCTTCGTAATTTACCTTTATCTCTCATTTCAATATTATAATGAGAATGTCAGGAACACGTCTAAAGAAATTAACTGTCATCAATTAAAATTATCTTATGCACAAACTAAAATTAAATTCTAAAGCTTTAGCTTATAGGAAAAAGAATTCTTAGTTTTCTTTCCTACCTTCCTTCAAACAGATCCTATAAGCTAAATTTCATGATTTATGTCGGTGGATTTGATTAAAGTTTTAATACCTCCATGACTTTATGCTCTAAACCCAAAAAAATGAGACAAATATTTCGTTAGAACTATTATATCAACTATAAAAAGATTACCTAAATGACTCAAGTGATATATATCAAATACAGTGGTGCAACTCGCGGCTATGAATATCTTATACTAAGTTGGTATTGTGGATAAATGTAATGTCTCATCTGTATAGGGTGTGTTACTATAGAACAGGTGTTTAGGCAAATTGGAAATTAGCAAAATCGATGGATACAAAAGAGTTACTTACCGAGCTGATGTTAAACGAGATCAAATCAGTCACAACATGACAAATGTGACACTCGTTTTGGTCTAAGAAAACCTACCATAACAGGATTAAAGTTACTCGGGTAGATTACAAACTAACACATTACTAAATAAATAGATGCTGTTTTTCAAGTTTTCTGTAAACAAAATTTCTCTCTGCTCAAGTTGTATACTTGTTTAAACTAAACATTTACAAGGAGGTAGACAAATTAGCAGAAAAATATAAGCCAGATAAGGCTAACGTACAATTTGAACTCCCAACCTGTTAAAATTACAGAAGCTATAGCCTGTCACGGGAGGGGCAGAACTTTCTCCATACTGATATTTAATAGATAGGTTCATCTGCAATAACAGAAAATATTTATGTAAAGTGATTACAATAAAACATGTTATAATTGAATTTATTAACATTATTAAAATGAATGTAAATGATAAATGCAATGAGAAAGTAACGTGACAATACCATCCCCGTCATCTACATCATTGAAATCATCATCGTCGTCGTCAAAATCTATATTCTGCAAGATTTTATTTGAGTTAGATACTTCAATTTTTTAATTGTTCGTTTTAACATGGAAACGAAAAACACAGCCTAGCAACCGTATGCTAAATAAGACAAGACAAAAACATACAGGCATATTAAGAAAGAAGAGGGAAAACAGTGAAATAAATACTCTTCAAACTACTACCACCAGAGCCCCCCAACCGCTAAAAATTTATATGAAGTGATACATCATTCCCTATGCCGCCACCATGTCAAATTAAGCAATTGCCAAAATCTAATTTTAGTAACAGTTCATTGAATGCTGAAAAAAGTCTATACCACCACCTGTTGTGGATGGAAGAAAGTGCAATAGGTGAAAACAAACTCCACATTCATAGAGTTCACTTCTATAATTTAAAAGAAACCTCAAAAATTGGAAAGGAAGAACAAGATAGCCCAAACCAAACATCGCAATTCTGACCATCGAATTGTCCTTTTCCTTCAAAGGTCAAACTATTTTCTATTGTTTACTTTCCAATTGCGTGAAGTGCATATTATGTGTAACATTTGAACAGGGCAATTTTGATATGGAATCCACTTAAAATTTCAAAGAAACTTCACATAGTATTGAGCAAGCACAAGATATTTTCTAATCCTAATATTTTCTCCTTTTCAATGTTATATTTATGTATGGGGTCTTCTCCTATTTAATTTTGTATTTATGTATGGGGTCAGAAGAAGCAGAGGACCATTGTGGACAGCTAATGAGTCATCAGTTGGATCTGCAAGACCACGTACACTTGTTATTTTTGCAAACGAGAGCTAGTTAGACTCTCCTACCAAGGAGGGGGAATATCAAAGATGATAGCTGACACAGCTAAAAACTTGCTTCCATCATCATATTACTGTTTTCAGTATATCTAGTTAAAAAATTAAGGTAACCTTGACTAAATTCAACAATAAGGTTTTAACTTAGACACATGAAACCATGTAAATGCAATTTTGTCATGGTCGAGAGCTGCGCAGGTTTAGTTTTTTCCCTATTTACCTTTGTCTTCAATTTGAAAATATTTCTGGGTAAGTTTTTGTGACTTAAATGTATTATTACAACATAGAGACCGATAGGGCCCAGCAGAAATTGCTGGTTCTTATCAGAGACAAATGGAAAAATTAACACATCAAAATAAAGGCTATAGTGGAACCTGATTATAATCATCATCACTCATATCTTCTTCATCCTCCTCTTCTGCATTTCCATCTCCATCTTCATCTTCTCCCTCTTTCTTTTCGGTTTCATCGGTTTCCTCTTTTCCCTGCAAGTGAAACCATCATCAACATATTTCACTGGAAAAGAAAAGGTAGTCCAACACTGGAATAAAAGAATAAATACAATATTCATGTGGACCAAATGCAATCTTACTCCCAAAATTAATCATCTAGTGGTCAACATTCCTTTAACTTAGCTAATGGAGAGTTGCAGCAGTGGGAGTAGATGTGATGGTGGCAGTAAAAGGGATGGTGGATGTAAAGATAAAAAAATTGATGGAAACAGTGAAGGAAGCAATATTAATGGGATCAGCAACGTGGTGAGAACAATTATGGTGTTGGTGTTGAATGGCAAAGGTTGTGGCACTGTTTGCAATGATGGTGGCAATTATAGAGGCAACGTGAAAGTAGCAGGAGTGGGTTTTAAAGGTATCAAACTGAGGTCGCAGTAACTTATTTTACCGTATGTGTGGATCAGAAACTGCCTCTTAATAATTTGAGGTTCTTTCAATTAGAAATCTAAGGATCTAGAATAAGAACTGAGGATATATTCAATTAGTAATAGCTCAATTCCTTGAAAATGCTATCAGGAATTAAAATTTTGAGTTTACAATGTATATCAAGGCAGAAATAAAAAACTGTAGATTCCTATTACATTCCAAAGGCCACAAAAAACCATAATGTGTACTGAAAGTGATAAGCATCCAAGCACACGGGGAACCTATCCTCAAAAGCTAGTTATTACAGGAAAAACCTTAAATACTTTATCGAGCATCTTATAATAACCAAATATTATTCAGCATGAACTTAGATACCCCTCAATACCCAAATCCCGATAATTGGTATGTTCTGAGATGAAATGAATGAAAGTGTTAGGTGTCTTGTTATCACACATACATACACAGGAAGTTGTTTTAAACATAGGTGCTTTACCTGGTTTGTTTTCTCTTGTTGTTCAAAGAAATCCATTTTCTTCATCTCTGTCACACAAACATCTTTATCAGTCTAAATAGAAATCTAGTGCTTACTATCATTGTTATAAGTAAACAATGATCCACTTTATAGATGTGGATATTATCCCAAGTTCCATAACATGTTTCTATCGAATAAATAATAGTTTCTACAGCATAACCTATCAAGCATTTATACAACAATATTACAATCTAAAGTAGAATGTTGCATCCATAGTACATACAACAATCAGAAGAACAACATGAGAATTTTCATAAATTTCTCAAAAGAGAGTAAAAGCCTTTTACAAAGATTAAGCTTATTTTGAGCTAATCTCAAATTCAGAATGTACACGCTATAGTGATTTAACCAATTGATAATACTGCATAAAAGGCAAAAAGGTCATAGGAAATCACTAAACCTGACTCTGGGTTCCATCGAAACTTTTTTCTTCTTGACATTCGCTTGGATTTACCTGAAAACACCAATTTAAGTTGATATTATTTGCTAGCATGAACCTCAAATCCATGATAAGAAAAACAGAATGGTTTTTCATGTTAAATATAACCATTGCCTTGACAGTCCATTCCATTATTCATACCTTGAACCAACTCATGAGGAAAACCATTGAACGTTAACACTTGTGACAGAGAGTCACGGGTAAATTCGTTTGTCTTCTTATCAGAAAACCTATCTACGTGCATTGATTGCCTCTCTGTTGGTAAAACAAGAAAATTAATATCTTCCAATGAAAGTTAACACAAGAAAAGAAAGTATGCCCGTCAGTGAATGAAGGAAGCAGATATTTAGGATAAATATGGTTCAGTGAAAGCATAAAACATGTTTTAGAAATAGTATGTCAGGCTGTATACTGGTGTAAACCAGCTCATTCCAGAAACCATCTCAATACCGCTGCTGATATGGGGAGCATAATTTGGTATCATAAGCCTATCAGTTTGTTGCAAGACTTTCTATGGTTCAGTTTCTTTTACACAATGATATAATGATGCACTACAGTAAAATATTTAGCTAAGCCCATGTCACAATGCATAGGTAAAGACAATTAAATGCATACTCTTTGAGGTTGTCTCCTCCAAAAGATAAGGAGAGGCTTTCCAGTAATTTTGTAACTTGTTACTCCAACTAAGCAACTTTTTGGTATTAACATCTATATCATCAATTTTAAACTCAGGCAAAGTAACATCCTGCAACATCAGAAAGATGGTGACAAGCAATAAGCATAGGTAGTTCATTATGCAGACAAAAAAGAAACATCGAAACATACCATCCACCCTCTTTATTTATCAGTTTCGAGTAAGGAGATAATGTTGAGGTTTCAATAAACAAGAACTGAAAGCTACAAATCATTTATAGTAGAGGGCCTTGGATTTGGAGAGCCACAAAAAAGAAAAAAAAAATGGTGAATTATTAATCTGAGACCGTCTTTTTTTCTGATTGGGAAAGGATCATCAACAGAGAATGAAGAATAAAGGGAAGTAGGGTATGAATGAATTAATATAAACAAAGGAAACAAAAACATACCTCAGGAAAAAGATCAAACGGCACTTGAGAAGCAAATGTAGTAAATCCACCTCCTCGTCCCCATCCCCGTCCTCCTCTTCCTCGCCCTCTGCCTGCCATCTCCACTCAAAATCCAATTTCGAGTGCAACTGTATCCACAACAAAGCAACAGTTTGCAAAACAAACAACTCTGTTTCGACGATAACAGACAGTGGACAAAACCAAAGAAGGTGGTGATGGGTGGTGGTGGCCAGGGCGGCTCGAAGCACCCTGTGATGCTGATTGTCTAGCAAGTACTGTTTTGTGAATTCAAGGAATAATTTGTATTCCGATAATGAACAGTTAACAAGGTAAGTTGAGCACTAATTTTAAAATATTTTTGTTTTTATCTAGTTTTTGAGAGTTTAAAAACAATACTAATTAATTTATAATTTTACTTGGTATTTTATAATGTAAAAATAAATTAAAATAAATTAAAAAATTGTATAAATGTTTTATTAAAACAATTTATTACATTTCTTAATTTGATAAGAAACTTCGAACACACCTAAAAAAACTAAGTTTTAATTAAGTTTTATTGACTTCTAAAAGATTTTATACTTTTAAATAAACTATTTGTCATTTAATTTTTTTAACTGGATAAATTGATTTTTTTGGTAAATCTTGGTTTTGTAATTTTATGATGGTTTGATTTTATAATTTAATAATCTTATAATTAAAAAAAACTAAATTTTAATTTTTTATTGACTTCTAAAATATTTTATACTTTTAAAAGAACATTTGTCATTTAATATTTTTTATTAAATTGATAGTGTGATTATTATTATTTCTGTAATATTTATTTTTTTAACTTTTTCTAATTTTATCATTTTATAATTTATAATTTTATAATGTCTGATTTTGTAATTTTATAATTTAACAACCTTATAATTTTATAATTTTATCATTTTATCATTTTATAATTTATAAAATTATTACTTTATAAATGTTATTGAAACCTAACTTACTTATATAACTTTATAAATGTTATAGAAACCTAACTTACTTATATATCGGTAATTTAAATTTTTTTGAAAAAGTACATCACACACAAAATCACACACAAAATCACATATAAAATCAAAATAAAAACGTTTCGAAGTAGACAAATTTACATTTATTATCCAAATGTAGAAAATCAAAGAAAAGTAAGATGTGAATAATACTTTCAGTGCAATAAAATATGTAATTATTTATAAATAGATTTAGTCAATAAAATTGTTGATAATTTAAATTTATTGATATATTATCAAAGATTACAATTTTGTTTGTAAATATCTTAATTAGTAATGAATTTGGATCATTAAAAAAATTTGTTAATAAATATTGTGATTGCATTTTATTCTCCTTTATTTTATTATTTTTTCTTTTTTTAGTTTTCTTTTTTTCATTTCTTTCTTTTCACTTCTCCTTTTCCTCATCCTTTATGTTTTCATAATACCATGAAAGTATGAATAGTTTAAAAATTATAATCACACAAATTAAATAAAGACAAACATATGCATTCGTGTAACAAATAATAAATATCGTTCCTTTTCTAAGAAATTTGTGCAAGAATCGACAACTCTTGCACTCAATAACTTAATTAGACCATAATATTTACAAAAATACAATAAACTCTTTTTACATTTTTAACAAACAGTTGGTGTGGAAGAAAATGTAACAGATTATTTACAATTTATTAAGACTAAAGTTCATCCACTTCACCTTCATGCATTAACAAACACCTCAATTATATATTCAAGTCAAAATCAATTCACCAATATACTCAAATCTTATCTCTAGTGACTTTGAACATATGATAACTTATCAAGTTTTAATTCCTTGAATCCTTAATAAACAACCATGCATTAAGTTCTAAGAGTCTTATAATTATTAATGAATCATGTTTCATTCCTATATACAAGCATTCATTAGGTATTTAATTTCAATTATAGGTTCAAGTCATATTTCTCAATACATCAAGAATCACAGATCAAGTCATAACAAACACTAAGCATGAAAATTCAATACTAACATGAATTAAAAAAACATATATCATTATCAACACAAAATTACTCAAAGAGTTCCATGTTTTACAATTAATCTCAACAAATAAGAATAGTCATCCATGGTGGGGAACTTAATGTTCTACAAATTGAAGAGATAGAAAAGAAACGAAAATCAAAGAGAAGAAGCAAGCTCTCTCCTAAGGTTATTGGCAGTTGCTCCATGCTCTAATTTCAACACCTTCAATTCATAACCTTTCTTCCTCTCCCAAAAGGAGGGAAACCACCATGGATGAAGGCGGAATCCCAAGGAGATAGGAAGAGTTTCCCAATACTTTAAACAATCTCTAAGAGTCTCTGTCAAGCACCCTAGGTGATTCTATTTATGTGAAAATGACGTATAATGAAAATCATCGCGAAAACATGAATCAAATACCCATTTTTTCATATCACATACTCATCCATCGGCTTCATTCTCGCCTAACAGGCCCATAAATTGATGATGTATAACTTGTAACTCGTTGAGCAGGGCAAATTTTTGTCTAACGGCTCGAATACTATAACTAACTTGCCCAGTGAGTCAGCCTAACGCCCAATGATGATTTTCTGGTCGTTCAAGGGTGATCCATGACAATATAACCCTACAAGTGAGTATTTTATTCATGTTTACAACCATAAATGCGATTCTAGAGCCTTTTAAGTGGGTATTTGTCTAAAAATAATTATTTATTACCAATCATGCTTTCTTCAGTTCTAGCTTATTTTCCTCCAGCAAAATTGCTTTGTATTTTCTTATTTTACACACTCAAAGAGAGATTAGGGGTAAAACAAAGGTATATTAACTAAAACACAATAAAACATAAAAACACACTAAACATGAAAACAAAACAAGATCAAAGTTATGAAAATAGTTTATTTGTTTATGAAGGTATATACACAAAAACACGTAAGTATAAATTACCTATTAATTTTATTGACATATTTTAAGGTATATATGTAATTACTGACGAATTTTACAATTTGTTAGTTACATACCGTAAAATTTGTTTGTAATTGGAAATTCAAATTATTTACAAATTTGTCTATTTTTAATTATATACCATAAAATATATCGATAAAATTTGTCAATAATTGAATATTCTTATTATCAATTGATTTTGTGTGTCGATAAAATTTGTTAATAATTACATACCATAAAATTCATCAGTAAATTTGAATTATTAATCAACTTTATCAATGAATTTTAAGATATTACTAACAAATTTTTAAATTTATTAATAATTACCTACCTTAAAATCTATTGGAAAAATTCATTGATAATTAAAAATTCTTATTATTTACGGATTTATCCGTTGGTAATTTCATACTTTAAAATCTATTCATATATAACCTGTCAATAATCAAATTTTTCGGTGATAAATTTTTTGTCTAGATATGGTAAGAAATATATTTTAAATTAAATTGGTAGGTTAGATGCAGAAGATAAGGTAAGAAAGGAGAAAGAAAGTGAGAAGGAGGAGAAGATGTATAAAGTTGAATGGTAGTGCTCGTGGTATGCAGTGTCGACATACGTTTCAAGGGTGCGATAAGGTTTCACATGATTTGCATGTAGTGATCATAGTTCATATGTGCCATTTGTGTTGTTACACATGTGGATGGAGCTTCAATTTATAATGGTTAATGAATACTCAAACGATCTTTATAAAACTGATGACAAGAAAGAAACATGAATATGATACAATGTAGTGACATTTTTATGTCATGTGTGATAATATAGGTTCGTGTCGTTGAACACAAATATTTTACCTACTACAAAATTTACAAAATTTATTGATAATTTTTTTTATCAGTAATTATTAATAGATATTTTATTTTATCAATTGATAAAAAATTTAGTTATGATTTTTTTTTGTTGGGCATAAAAGGACAATATAAACTTAAAAGAAATTTATTAGCAACGTGTAAAATATAAAATTATTTAATTAAATTGAGTTGAATATATATATATATATATATATATATATATATATATAACTTGTATACGCTTGTTTTTCAGTTGATACATTTTAGCATTGTGTACCGGGTTTTAGTAGACAAAAATACTTTAACATATCATAAATTATAAGTTTTAAGGTTAAAGTATTTTAATAATTTTTTAAAAAAAACTCAAACCCTTGCTCATTTTCCTTATTCCTCTCAACCCTTTCTCTCTCATATCTCTTACTCCAACATTTTATTTGTCATCCCTAAGCTAGTCCCAATTGAAAAAAATCAGAAAGACTCGCCTAACCCTCCTGATCTACTTTCCTCACTTATCCTAATTTACCTAACTCTAATCGGACAACTTAATAGTCAAAATATCAAATTTATCTTAATAGTCAAAATATCAAATTTCTCTAAAAATAAACTACTAATTCTAAAATTTAAAAAAAAATAATAATAATAAGGGAAAATATATTACACAACTCTCCAATCAAAAATTAACATCAACATAATTTTGTTATTAAACTGGAAAACAAATGAACGAAGAAAGCAAGAATAACAAATTACGGTGTCGCGGGTTGCTGTGTGGGTGAAAGAGAGTATGTTGATGAGAGAAAAATAAATTGGATAAGTGAGGAAGGTAAATTAGGGTTAGACAAGTATTTCTAATTTTTTTTAATTGGGGCTAACGTACAGATAACCGAGAAAATGTTGGAGTGAGAAAAATGAAACAGAAAGAGTTGAGAAGAATGAAAGAGGTGAAAAAGGGTTTGAAGAGTTTGTTATTTTGTTTAGTTTCGAGAATGAAAATTATTAAAATATAAACTTAGAATTCATGATACATTATGATATTTATTACTAAAATATACAAACTGAAAACAGACCCAAGTTAGCAAACTATATTATATATATATATATATATATATATATATATATATATATATTAACCATAAATGATTATATATTATTTAATATATAAGTTAATAGTTATTTTAGTTTTTACGAAGAAATAAATAAAATGTAATCTTTGAAATAAAAGAAAATCTGATGGATTTATTTTCTTTATTCTATTGTTACAAAGTGATAAGGTTACATGGTGGGATTAAAATATTCACTCTACTTTAGAATAACTCTTTATCTAAAACCTTTATTACGGTTTTATCCTTTTGGGCATCACTGCACACTCATCTTTATTCTCTATTCAGTGTGTACCATTTTGTAAATCAATCTCAAGTGATATTTTCGGCTCGTGTATAGCAAGGAGATATATTATAAAAATAAAATATAAACAGACATAATATGATTAAGTTTCATAAGAAAATAGAAACA